ACCACGTTATCTATAAGTGTTGGTTCGGGGGAAAGTCGTATGTAACAACTTATGATGTCTGCATTACTCTTTAATTGCGGAGTAGTAAAACTGAGGAATGTACATTGTTGATGAGTTTGCATGAACATTGCTGACATCTCCTGGCAATATATTGTTACTGCTTACAACTCAGAGGTTGTCCCATTGATTTAATGAACACTCTGATTTTCTTTGTGTTGTGGAATGCAATGTCAGTTCATTTCAATTTTGAAAGTAACTTTTGTCTAACACTATAAGATGTTTCTGTCGGAGAACACAGAGAGAGAGGGAGGGAGAAACGCGCAACTAAAGTAGTCAAATGGTGAATCCTAGGAGGTTTGCCCTTCACAGTCCAGCAAGGTCACACCAGATTTCATTGCGGAGCCTCTGATTTGAACACGACTTGGAATTTTACGATTCTGAAAAAGGCGCTCAGTCTCTCGATGACGACACCCACTGCGGGTTTTACGGGAAGCCTCTTTATTGAATTGTTCTCGCTCTGATAGTCATCCAGGACATTGGGCGTGTGTTCTTTGACTTAATTGTCTATTGGCGGCTGTAAAGCGTCACTGAAATACACAACAATAAAAAAATCACCCATGTCCATTGATAGAGATGTCTGTTCGCATATAAATGAAATATTAAATTCGAAGCTTTATTAGAAATGCATTTTAAAAAACATTTTAACTTCTTTTACATTATCAATTTAGGCTATATGATCAGGCCAGGTGACTGAAGTGCTCATTCTGCACAGCTCCGCTTTTTGTTCACTTCTCTGATATTATCTTTTTCATCATCCATAGGCCTACTTCTGTAAATTCATATAGGCTACTTAAAAACACACACAAATGAGATTCAGGCCATTCATAACATTGAATTAAATGAGTTCACGAGTCAGCAAAAGTTCTGTTTGATTCCGTGTGTAGTGAATTTAAATTAAGACAACGTAATGCATTTTGAGAAACATGCTGACAGACGCAAATATTTGCTTTCTCTTATTTTCTGTCTTTGTTTCCGTGTTCTTTTAACTAAACTTTGGTGCAATGCCTCCACCTTGTGGTCATTATATGCAATGGCTGTTGTGAACTGTTGCATGTGCCGGTGTCTTAAATATTTACTTATTGAAACAGGTATGGCTTCATTATTAGCTGGAAGAAAAAATATAAAAAATATAAACACTGCACATATAATGTCAGTATGCCTAATTACCTTAGCATAATAATTCTTCAAATTACTGCAAATTATATTACATTTGCATAGACTAAAAAGTTTAATATCCGCTTTGCATGCATTTTAGCACATTTACTCACTGTCCGTGTCTGTTTTGTAGTTTATTGGAAGATTTAATGTTTAATTTTTTTCATGCACAACCAGTCTCTTACATTCAAATTTGGTGCAGCACATTACTTTGAACGCATAATGCACCATAACACATAAACACCTTTGACGTTTCTTTGTTCTGTTCATACGTATATTGTTTGTTTAATTTATTTCATTAAAAAAATCTTTGCAGTTTCTTTGTGATTACACTGCCTCCTACTGGCAAAAGAAACCAATAGACGTACTCTTTGGAGGTGTACACAATCGATGAAATGAAATACAAGGTATCGTAAACGAATAACTGTTATTCATGACTCCAAAGGTCAAAAAGATTAGCAGATAAAAAGGCTATGATGTATGAGAAACACATTTAGGGAACGCCTCATTCTGCAGCGCATTAATTACACATTTGAATTTCACAGACGTCGGTTGATAACATTATAATTGTATTACACTATCCATTATTGCATTTGTTTCATTAGTTTTAAATATAATTAATATAAATAACAACAACATATATACATTATCTCTCTCTCTTTGCAATAAGTTCCATAATGTTAATATGAACGCCTGTGCATTTAGAAAAAGGCTAGAAAATTGTCTTTTGACATAATAATTTAGTTCTTAGACGTCTGTGTACTAATTCCAAAATGAAAAAATGTAAAAACATTACAGTTGACCCAATGTTGCAAGCAGTCCTCTCATGAAGCTCAGCTATTTAACAAAAATAGGTTTTAAATACTTCACTGAAGACAACAAGACGTACATCTGACGTTCATAGCAGAAAACATGCTGCTTTGATCAGATATGTAGCTTAATGTATTTGAACTTGTAATTGTTTGCAGAACTGGCATGGATCCTTGCACAGTTGTAGGTTTGTCTCACCGCCAAGATATTCGCTACGCATCTTTTGACAACGACTTGCAAAGCATTAATGGTGAGCGTTTTGTGCACAGATGTTAGTGAAATGATGTATTTTGTGATTCACATTAACAGATCCTTCCTCGCATAGCCAATTCCTCTGTGGCGCACATTTTTAAGGCTCCAAAGGTAACCGTTTGTATTGTATTTAAAGCAAGTAAGGCTGACGGAACCAGTTGCCAGGAAGGGGGCACACACAACAACTTTTGTATAGTCCTGTTTATCTTTCCAATTCTTGCTACACCTTAAACAATTTCTGCAGATTAGACCAGCCTATGGAAAGAAGCTGTTAATTATTCAACCACAGTCTTGAACTTTAAGAGAGAGAGAGAGAGAGAGAGAGAGAGAGAGAAACAGAATTAGCTAACTCCCCTCTCCTCTCCACATCAGAGATGTGCTATTTAGAGATGGCTTGGCAGTAAAACTTTACAGCAAATGGAGTGGCTTGGTTGTCATGGCAACAGTTATACGAGTTTGACCGAAGATCCTCTCACCAGTTGGAAGGGGCCAGCGATTCTGTTTGTGATTATAAAACTGGAATGTGTAGAATATAGGAAAATTCGATCAGGGTTCCTTTTCTTTCTGGCTTTTTGTAAGTGAAAAGGAGTCGAGGAAGAATGGCACACGGTATCTGGGATGTTTCTTAAAAAGCGGTTAGGCATGTCAGTCAGAAAATGTTAAATAGTTTTAGTGCAGCATGCCAGACAAAAAGTAAACAATCGCTCGAGACAGGTGATGTCAACGTCAAATCTTTACTGCAAGCAATCATTCGTGGGATATCGAAGGCCAAAGGCATTCATTAAGCTCTTTGCGCCGAAGCTATTTGGATTTATGAAAACGTATTCAATTTTTTCAGTTTTTATTCCAGTTGTGAAAGAGGGTCGGCTAAAGAACAAAGTAAGTGTATATTACAATCATACATGCATTGATTTGTAAATTGTTTATTTATCACCATATGGTGTATCCAGGTTATCCAGTGATTAAGATTGTGAGCATAGGCCTACTGTTCTGTGAGTGAAACGTCCAGCTATGTACCTTTTTAACTAAATACATTTGGGAATTAAATATATGACGATATGTCAGTGTTAGACATTTGAGACAAATGTTTATTGTATCATATTAATCGTCGATTTTAAACAAATTTTTTTTAAAAGATCTGTTATGAACTTTATTTCCTAGCATTATAATTTTTGCACTGGAGCAATTACAAAATACAGCATTGCTTTCCACTCTCGGGAAATAAGGATAGCAAAATATTGTGGTATGTAAACTAAAAAGACCTAATTTACAATATATTTGCTTTAGAGAATATTAGTCATTTATTTTGATTTTAAAAGCTGGACATTGAGCGCGCACTGCAGTTATAAGAAAAACTGCTTTCGCCCATCCAGAAACTATAATGAAATGTTTATTTTCTCGTCTAATATCTAGAGGAATATGTCATAAGCAAATTGCTAATTTGGTCACAAAAATCCAATCCTGCAGTTGAGGAAGCAAGTGGTTTGGCCCTGAGGTTCACGTGCTTGTGCTGATAAAAGCTGCTATGAAATGCACAACGTGAGAAGACCAGGCCGATAAATTCGCAAAGTTTTTAATAAATGTAACATTTGTGGATTTGTTGCTTGATGTTAATCGTATTAATGATACGTTAAAATAATTGTTTGTTGTGTATCAACATTTTTACCCTCTACATTAACATAGGTGAAGAAAGTCTTTCAATTTCTTGTAATCTTTTAATTCACATCTCGTAATATATAAAAAATGATCAATTTAACATCGTTTATCTACAGAATCTAGATAACTGATTGTGAGGACAAACCCATCTTTCTTAAACATTTCATTGATCTAGTTTTACAGAGTGTTTTTGTGTTCTCCTCCTATCTTGTTTTTCTGAAACAAAATAGACATTACATACTAAAACCTTTGGTACCTTTTAAATATTTGACCAAAACTAAATTTGACCGACAAAGTTTGCTATTTTACTTAGGCGTAATCTGTTTTGTTCCTCTTATATAAAATAAAGCCTAAATTACTTTGGCAAAATTAAAAATATAATATAACATTGCAGTTAATAAGCATAGTATAGCTGCAGTTATGTAATAAACTAAATTAATTCATTATTTTGACAGTATCTAGTATAATAAAAATAAGAACTATGTTTGTTGTTGTTGTTGTTATTATTATAAAATAGCGGGAGCTAATAAATTAATTAATTTGTATTAGCCTTCTGTGAATATAAACATTGCGTCCATTTAAATATTCGTGTTGTTCATTTTAGACTCTTATCATCAGTTTTGTTTGATATCTATCTAGTCTTTTTTTAAAAAAATTTTACTTTTAATGTCAGCAAATACAATTAGTTCATTTTTTTTGGTTAAATATTTATTAACAATATCAAATGCATCACGCAAAGCCCAGTGCGCAGTCCAGTATTTTTGTAACATGTATGGTTGACCTAATATGCAAAGTCATTGCTAAATTAGTTTAGTTCACCTTAACTATATATATACATAATATTTAAATCTTTTAAATCTTCAAATCTTCAAGATTAATACGATTGTCTTATTGTATGGGCTTCCAAACATTCCCTATGTAATCTGATAGTATTGACTTAAAAAAGGTGAAATCACAATGATTTGGGATGGAAGCTTGATGAAGCACTTGAATTAAGCAGTTCTGCAAGGGGAGGAGCTTGCCCGTGAACCCCAATCTCTATTGAGCTCGCATGCAGCAGAAGGAAACGTACGTGCGCCATACTCGTTGAAAGGCCAATAGTAAGGGACACTGTTGCCTTGGCCCAAAATATGCTCCAGCAATGTCATGCTCCGAGAAATTCTCTGCGGTGAAAGTCACACTGTCTAAAGGGGAAATCTTTCGATAGCACAGGTCTAAAGGATCCTTTGCGTGGGGCGTACGGAGGCTCACGTCCTAACCTGGACTGCCAAATCCAAAATAGCGGGACCACCCCAGCGTATTCGATCGCGCTTCAGACAGTAAAACAGGTTCAGACATCCCCGGTTGAGTAAGCCATGGCTCTGCCGAGTCACCAGTTTATCCATGGAGCTGTGAACTGGGATGGAGAGCACTTGAGTCCCGTCCAGGTTTCTCATGTCAGCGCGTGTCCCATCAGCGCTTCAAGTCGAAAAGAGGACCCCTTCTATTTTTCTGTGGACCCGACAGGGCAAGCTAGACAGCCTCTCGGCATCTCCGCCTTCAGCAGATTCATGACAGATATGGGCTCTCTGAACGGTCCAGAACCTTCTTTTTACTCCGGACACAAATTCCTATCACTCAATACCGACACGGATCCAGAGAGTACGTCGCTCTCTTCCCACTCAGACTCCCAACAGTTGCACAGTCTGTCTTTCTCCGCGCTTTCCCGTTCAGAAACTGACAATAAGCCCGATACGCATTATTTAACGATGGAAAGCACTAAATACCCAAGCCAGTGGAGTGAACGCAAAACCAACGGGAGCATCATTACCACACTGAGCATCAGTCAGAGAAGTAGAGACGACACACAGCCAAATACTCTCCAGACAGACTTTACCGGGAACGATATAACTCACAGAGAGAGAACGCAAGGTGGGTAAACAAGGTTAAAAGAGACAGCAGTGTTTAAAGCAAGCCCATCAAAGACCAAGACAAGATTTTATTAAATGTTTTCCTTTCCGAAAGCTGTTGAAGGGTGTAGCCACTGAGACACAAAGAGAACCAGGGCTTGAAAATGAATTTATTGCACCGAATTGCCCCAGACAGACTAAATTGCACGTCGTTTCTCAGAACATCAAAACAGCGGAAGGATCCATTGTCAACTGGAAGCCTTAGTGTGGGCCAGGTGTGGCATTGCTTTAGGACACTTTTTATTGATGTGAAACGAAGAAAGTCACTTCTGGATTCATTTAGTATATAATTGCTGAAAAGTGTGTGTAGCGTATATTAAGGATATATTTAAATCTAAGCCAACTTCAGCAGATTGGGAACAGCCACGTAAATATAATTTTATTATTATTTTTTATAACAATAGCCTACATGCGTTTTAAGGACTCTGTTAAGCGTGGGAGAGGCCTAACATTTCTAAAAAGTGTATGTGTGTGTGTGTGTGTGTGTGTGTGTGTTTGGTTAGCCATTTCCCCCAAATAGCCTATATCTGGAATATTCACTTGTTATGGAGGCCTATTTTATTTGTTTGGCCCGAAATGCAGTATTTTACGACATTTTTTATGATGCAAAACCTTTAACAAAACATTTAAGAACGAGTGAAAGTTATTATACATTAGAAAACTTTAAAGGTGACATGTAGGCTACATTCCTTTTCATCCTCTGGAATGTGAGGGCCAATACTTTTTTTTTTTCTTTTTTTTTCTTCTTAGGATTCGTCTATTTTATGAACCAGTTATTTGCAAAATATAAATGGTTCATGTCGGTTTAGTTGAGATAATATTTGCAACAAATGAACTACAAAATGTTTATGCAGTTCATATCCTGCATCGTTCTCTCCCTTTCTCCTCATTTTGATTTTCCCTTGCTCCCCCTCTCGCCGACCAACAGAGACACTGCGTAGTCTGTCTGTGCTGACATTATTTCCTGTCATAAAATGTCGGACACTGCCAGGTAATGGCCGCGAGAGTCAAGCTCAGTGGCTATTTGCTCACTGTGAAGGGCGACTATATAATAGCCTTGTCTCTCTTTCTCTTTTTATCTGAAGACGTGACTTTAGAAAACGCTGCAAATGGCTGGCTGTCGGCGAAAGCAGGGAGGAAGAAGCGATGTCCTTACAGCAAATACCAAATCTTGGAGCTGGAAAAAGAATTCCTATTCAACATGTATCTGACTCGCGAGCGCCGCCTGGAGATTAGCCGGAGCATAAATCTCACCGACCGCCAGGTTAAGATTTGGTTTCAGAATCGCAGGATGAAACTGAAAAAAATGACTCGAGAGCACCAGACAAGGGACCCTGGCACAAATGTCACTGTCTAGTTTGTTATGTAAGACGGTTAAAAAGAACTCAGCGCACAAATCACTGCAGTTATCATCCGTTGCAAGTGGATTGATGCAACTGCTGCTTCTGATGGATTAACAGGAGGAAGCGATCAGTAAGATCTTACTAGGTGTTTCAAAATATGTGTTCTATAAGGCAAATGTAAGGGAGATTTTAATACCTCGCATGAAGATGAACAGAAAAGTGTAACGAAATAAGAAGACAAGTCTTTGGCTATTCGATGAAAGCTTGTCATATTCACACAGGCCCATGAACAGTGTTTATTGATGTCGTTTAGGTTCTGGTCAACTTTTCATTGTACGAGGATGATTTGTATTTATTTATTTATTTTTTACAGGTTATGAGTGTTACAGCGGTTGTTTTTTTTTTTTTTAGATAGGGCATTTTATATTTTAGGTAACTAAATTACACTCGGACACTCCCGAGTAAAAAAATGAAATAAAATCATAAAAGGAAATCCATTATCAGAGGAGTTACATCAAGCACAGGTACTGTTGTTTTGTTTAAAATGTTGTTTGTTGTCTAGTCGTTATATTGGTTCGAGTGAAAAGGCACAAATTTTCTTCTTATGGTGTAGCATGGTCGAATGTATAACTTAAACTGTGATTCTTAAAAATTCTGTTTTGAAAAGCAGTGCATTTTAAAATAAAAGTTACGTGACCATAAAACGTTTAGTTTGTATATTAAGTACGGTGGTCACTTTGAAAATGACCTTATCGGCAGTGTTCTAATTTAGTATTGTGACAATGCATTTTGAAAAACAAGTAGACCTATAAAGGTCATATTTAAAGGTGTAATACAAGCTTTCAATTTTAAATTAGGCCTACTTATTTTTTAATTTTTGTTTTATACAATTCAAGAATTCAGTTCATGACAACTTATAGCTTGGAGAGACGAAGAACCTGGCATGAAGCTTTCTTTAGTCTTACAATTAAAGGAGAAGGCATTTGTCAATTGTATCAATTACAAAACTTTAATCACGAGCTGACTGTGAACTAGTAATTATTGTATTATTAGATATATTAACAGATTTTGGCTACTTGATTTTGGGTGTAGAATAGATAAGAAAAAGACATTTGAGTTTAATTTGAACAAAACCTTTTGAAATTCAATTTGATTGATAGAATACGTGGAGTCCTTGTCTTAACACTAAATCCAAACGAAAAGAAAATATATTATTACTATTTTTTATTAATTTTATTATGGCTATATAATTTTTTAACCAGAGATATAAAACATATAATGTAAGTGCATCACAAATGCAAATTATATTATCTCTGGGATCAATTTCTTGTAAATTCAAAATGGAGCTCCTATTTGAATTTTAGAAATTAAGGTGAAGTTATATTTACCCATCTGGATTCATTTTACGTTCTGCTTTCATCTGCATTCTCTCAAATATCTCATGGCTGCATTAACAGACCTATATTTGAATGGGCGAAAAATATTGTGAGCGCTTTCTTGAGTATTTTATATGTGCACTAAGAAGTGTTAACCGGATATTTATTTTTAATTTTTATTTTATTTAGTCATTTAGCAGACGCTTTTATCCAAAGCGACTTACAAATGAGATATAATATAAATATAAATATATAAATATAAATATATTTATATTATAAATATAATATATTTATAATATAAATGGGATATAATGTTTTATTATTAAATTTGTATTGTGTTATGAGATGTGCTATATTTTTTGTAGGTTTCAATTAAGTGAAGATGAAATGTATCAGTTGTTCACTTTTGTTCCATTCTGTCCGAGAGTTTTCGTCGCGTAAGAAATAATTCTGAATATATGCTGATGTTGCTTGACTTGATACAGTTCCTCCTCTTTTGTCTAAGCCAGTCTTTGCTTTGGTGAACCGCCATGTTGAGAAGGGACAATCCCCAACGTCATTGGCCAGGCAGGGGGCTCTTTTTATAACAGGGGGCAATAGACCCTTTTATTGCCGACAGTCTGGCGAGAACCGGATATGCTTGTGAACTTAAATTACTTTATTTCAAGCAACGTCTTTAAACAGTTCTCGCTATCTCCTTTCCCCGCAGTGGGTCAGAAATGTTCCAGTTGATTTCTTGAGCTTTTAGCTCTAGTGCCCTCTAATACGGTTCCTCAGTTAAACGGTGCTCTGTTAGAGGACATAGCACTGAAATATGAGTGCTCATCTGGTTCAGTACTTTTGGACGCTAGACTGCTGGCAGCCATTCAGGTCTTGCCTTTGAACACGGAGAAGACCAAGCTGGTCTGTGATTTAGGTAGTTTCAAGTTGTTGGGCTGGACGTTTAATTTCACAGGAACCTGAAACTGCCTGAATTGCTCCAGTTAAACACACCATTATCCGTTCAACGTGGACTGAGGATACAGTGCCGCCTTCATTGAAAATACGTACTTAATAATAAGTTGTAAATGAGCGATTCTTACAGATCATGCTCATGTTATTATTGCAGCCATTACATCGCGTTATTTCTTTCTTTGACATATTACTTCCACACTCCGTATCTGACACACACACACACACACACACACACACACACATATATATATATATTTACACACACACAATTTATTATTATTTTTTTTTTTATGCTGAACACTTGGCTACGAGCAGTAGTTAATAAATCTGTTCACCCACAACACTGCGTTTCTTCGATAATTTCCCCCTCTATTTTCACAAAGGCCTGTTTTTATTCCGCGCCGGTGAGATGGAGTCCTACACCATTTTAAAACACATTTTAAGTTTTAAAAAACACAATGCCTCAATTATATATTTAACTATTATAGAAATATTCAAAAGTTTTAGGACACTTAATGTTAATCAATTGTGATCACCTGTAAAGTTTTGCAGTTAGAGTAGAATGAACATATTTTCATACTATATAATATAAACACATATTTCATATTATAATTTTTTTTTACAAACACCTGATCTCTGAAAAAACGCATATATATATCATATATCATATATCATATCATCATATATCATATCATATCATATATATATATATATATATATAATAAAAATAAAAATAAAGTAGGGGCACTTTTTTACCCCAAATACCATACTTTTACATATTCTTTCATTATTTAAAAACTGTTGCTTTAATTATCTTAAACAAAACTGAAAGTATATAATATATATAATATAATATGCATATTTTTAGCCTCGACACTGAAATATAAAAAAATTGGCATTAATTAGATAAAATTAGATAGGTTTAGAACATATCTCATCAATTCGGTTGTTTCAGATGCTTTTGTATTAAGAAATCCACAATTAATGGCAAATTCACACCATAATTTTTGTCATAAACGCTTTATCATATGATAAATTTGATTAACTGTGATATTTTTCTAAGGCAAACTCATTAGAGCAGTAGGAAAAACTTATTTTAGATGTATAAAACTTAAAGCTGCATTTGCTGATGATTTGAAATACAGTGTGGTAACGTTTGCAGAGTACCTGTGGTGGCCAATAGCCTGCAACAATATTCTGACAATCAGTCAATATGCTATCATTGCTGAAGTCATTGGTATACCAGCAACAACTATTGCCAAATTGTAGTTTTAGAAAGTTTTATCCTTATGTTATGTATTGCTTGCAACATATAAATGTCCTGCACGAATGCTTGCAACATGTAAATTATGATTACAACTAGCTATAACTAGCTCACGCCATACAAGAAACTCTCCATATTGAATGTGAGAGGTGCAGTTTAACCTTCCAGTTAAGGTCCTCTTCTACACTGAATAAAACGAGAGTTACAAACAGTTATGAAACGGTGTTCATATTAAGACATGTTAAACTTTGCCTTGAAGAGTTTTGACAGCAGAGCACAGATACATTTATCTTTGTTGCTGATGCTTTTTGAGTAAGCCTATTTGGAATTTCATGACAAAATATCAAACATAGCCAGAGTGTGGACAAGGAAGATACTGAGACATGCTCAACGGAACCTAACCCTATAACGGTATTCAAAATAGTCCTACAAATTACGTTACTCTTGTTAGATATTTATTTGAATATAGGTGTGCTGAGATGCATCTTTGTGATTAATATTTGTTTGAATTAAATTTTCTTTGCTCACAAGAGTTGATTCTTTATAAACAGGAATATGTAAAAAAAAAAAAAAGTGGTCACATACGGCAAACAGTAGCTAGCTTCTCTAAACAAAGGTTTCACTACTAAAAGAAATGCTTAGCTTAAAGGCTAAGCATTTATTTTAGTACTGAAACTTGTATGCGTGACAGTATGCCTCAATTTTTTCTAAGACTGTCACATGATACATTTTAACTAGTTTGATAATATGTGGTATATGTTCCGGTATGCTCTTATTCGTAGAAGCCCAATATTACATAAGGAAATATGATCCAAATCGATTACAGTGTATGATTAAAGTGTAGCTTTCAATACACATTTTTTTAGATTATCTTTCCTTTTCTCTGTGTAATTCCAACAGAAGGCAGAGACATTTTAATTCAACGTGAAGTAATGCACCGGCGACGGGTTGATTTTTTACAGGGTGTTGTTAAATGCCTTTTTAAACGGCTAGGTTGTGATTTAAGTGTGCAGCCTCTTCCTGATGTAATTAACATTTTAGAGGTTTTAGAGATTCTATAGCACAACTTATTGCACAAATGTATCTTATTATGCAACTTGCCCTGTTTACGCATATACAGGTGTAGTTAATAAAATTAGCACGAAGCTAAGTATGGGCTATCTAAAGTCACAATGAACTAAGATGGTAATAGTTGCTTTAATTGTCTTTTTTCAGTTAACTCTACAGTACCTGTAATGTTTTTTTGTAGAAAAATGATTTGCTATCGTTCTTTTGCTGAGGCACAACAGCATCATAGGCTCGATTTATTCTTGTATGTTAAGTGGCAACTATTTATTGGGCACGGCCAACACACACAGCAAGTGCTGAAATCACAGTTATATTGTATTACATTGATGGTCCAAGACATTCACCACAGACAGTGAAATACTTTCTGAAACATTTGCCTTTTTGCATGCGTAATTCAGAATTTCTGTTGCAAAATGTTGCAGAGAGAGAGAGAGTAGAATTGACTGGTGTGTATTTGAAAAAAAAAAAAGAATCTTGTTTATTTGTGTGTGTGAAATGAGCGATTGGATGGAACACTACAGTGGAGTCGTTCACGGTCCTCGCCACAGGCAGTATATCAGGCCTATAAAAATCAAAGCTGCCTGATGTAGTATTTTATAATAGTATTAAACGACCAAAAAAGTTCAAGTAGTTTCTTCTATAAATGCAAGGGGATTGTCGCACGGTGGTGTTTAATACCCTCGTTAAGAAAAAAATGACTGTTAATTTCCCAATAAAGCTGTTCATTATCTCAACGTAGGCCTACTCCTATTACTACAAGAAGGAAGAGGTTTGCCTTCTCGGAGGTTTAGAGGTTTAAACACGTGGGGGTATAAAATATTTTAGGAAAAAAATTGGTTGAGTAAACTTTATAAGCAAACGTCACTTGGTTTTTGTGATACCTTTCAAAGTCCTGTTAAATATCTCCATAAATTGCCTATATTAAATAGTTATTGTCATACATTTTATCAAGCAAATATGATTAAGCTCCCGTTCAGCACTTATGCTGTATAGATCACGATATAATGGCACATCAATTCATAGAAAAAAATGTTCTCTCATTTATTATTGTGGGCCACTGCTCTGCATATGCTTTTTTAAATATGTCAAACGTTTCATAATTTAAGTTGACATTTTCCCGACTGCTTGTATATATCTGGAGATATATGGACACACTCCCATTTTGCATATTGCATAAACAAGACAATTTATTTAGATGGGAAATATAGAGAGCGCAAGAGGAGGAGAGCTCCGTACAGCCTCTTGGCGGATTGATTTACACCCCATTGACGCTTTATCAGGCTCGCGAAAAAAGTCTGACCAATCACTTCGCTCGGAGCGCACACCATAGCAGCCCGGCTCTACTTCGTTGGCGAGCGAGTAGAGAGGAGTACCGTAAAGAGGGGAGTAAAGCACATTTCTATTGTACATGTTTTCCTTTTAATGAACAGTACGTTATATAATGTCCGAGAATGTCAATTTCTGGAACTCTAAGCAACTACTATGTCGATTCTATTATAAGTCATGAAGGAGAAGATCCGAACGCGTCCCGCTTCTCCCATGTACAGTACTCCAGCACTAGACAACCGGGACCCGGCGAGCATCCGGAGTTCCCCTCTTGTAGCTTCCAGCCCAAGCCTTCAGTGTTCAGTTCGTCATGGAGTCCATTCAGTTCCCACGCGTCCAATGGCCTACCAGCAGTCTACCATCCGTACATACCGACGCAGCCAGTGCCTTCAACGGATACTCGATACCTCCGCACATGGCTTGACTGTGCTCCGAGAGCAGAGCCTCTGCCCGGGCAAGGACAGGTCAAGATGGAGCCGCTCCTGGGACATCTCGGGGAACCACCGAAACTAGTCGGGCAGCATGAGTATATCTTGGAGTCCTCTACAGCACGGGAGATGAATTCTGGTCACAGCGCTGGGTTTGAAGACAATAAGGACATATGCGAAGGCAGCGAGGACAAAGAGGGACCGGATCAAAGTAAGTTATAAACCTAGGAAGTGAACACTCTGTAAAGCGTTTAATGCTGTCATAAAACTAGAACAAAGCAACGGAGAGCTACAGACGCCTCACGCAGCCAAGTATGATCATGTAACATTCTCAAGTCTTCGCTTGCATGTAGGGGTTTTTAATCGAGTCTGTATTTTTACCCAGATATGTTTGATTTAGCCATGCTATACATATATAGCATCGCTGACGACTGTTTTGCTTTGCCCAGTTGGAGTCACGTAGAGGATTCACACCTTTATAAAACAAGCTTTCATTTTCCCAAATCATGTTATTTGCGTTTATTTCATTCTTGAGTAACTTTTAGTATATTCTTTCTCTTTCTGTCTCTGTTAGAGACCCTTATTTGCGCGTCAATGCACTTTAGTGCACTAGCCAGTTTTAGGTCGGCTGTAAACAGCTTTTTCGTGCAATGACTCCCCAAATTGTCTCTTAGTTATACTAAATAGTGCAGATGTTGGTCTTATGTTTAGTAGGTCTTGGTTAGCAAAAAATATTATAACGCTTATTCGCTTTTCATCTGAATCTATCTAATTCTATTTATGCGGAACTATTATTGACTATATCACAGAGGTGAAGGTATAGTTTGAATACCACAAAATAAATGTAATACTGAATATGTTTTTAATGGTAAATCTGGCTGCTGGGGTGGGGGGGGGGTTGTATGTTTTTCCCTGATCTTGCCTGTTTTTGAACTCCCTCAAGAGTGGGTTTGAGCCGGTGCAGAGAATAATCCACAGAATTCCAGCTCATAATCATGTAAGATTGTTTATTGCTAAAGTATTCCAACAAATTCAGAAATGCAGCTAAATTCTTAGGGATTTGTTCAACGATCGTTTTCGATTTTGTCGCAATGAATTTGAAAAGGCCATTGATTTTAATTCGTGAAGTAGGCTGCAGCACTGCGAAGTGCGAACTAATGGAATTGTGCGCAACAGAAATCCCCAATGTGCTACCCCGGGCTGCATTCCAGAATAAACTGTAGGCAAAGGCAATGATGTTGGGATTTACACGTCCCGCTTTGTGCTCATGGCTGCCCATGAGAAGGAAAAAGTTATAGGTCTCAAGTCTATTAAGTGATCAGAGGAGCCAACATCCCCATTAATCGTACGGGAGCTCTTTGGGATATGTTGCGTTAAAAAAATTCTCAGAGTAAAATACGATTCAGTCCAATCATGCGCAAATGCAATAATAAGCGTCCTAAGGTCAGAGGTCCATTGTCTTTGTGAAAACGTTTTGATCAAATTGACTAGAGGCAATAAATAAATAAATTCTAAACTTTGTGTAATTTGTGGATTTTGATTCATATTTATTAATGGAAACACGCGTCACTTTCCTCATCATATAGCATGACCCTCTTAGTGTTTCATTGTTAGGGATCACGTCTCGGTCCTGTCTCGTAAGTCGCAAGGTGTCCGCAAAGACGTGTCCGCGAGGCCTGTAGTTGACATGACACGCGCATTAATCATTTTAGATGCGTGTATCTCATCCCATGATTATAAAAATACAATTGCGATTTGGGATATCCTAGAAAGCTGATGTACAACTGACGTGTATGTCTGAAGCGATGGAGTTGCACGCATAGGATGGGAAACATCTATAAATACGTGGCTTTTTCTAACCTGCTAGCATACACCTTCAAACTGTCTGAGCCCCTGAAAAGTGAAGTTATGTGCCAAACGTTGAATGTTTTTCATGCAAATATTATGCACTTTAAGAGAGCATAAAGCACCACCATGGTAGAAATGTTCCCTTGACGTCATTTAACCCACAGAGGTACAGAAGGCATGCACAGGTGACATCAATTTCGTCATCACAGTGAATCTCCAATCGCTGTAACATTCAGCTTCTCCGTGTGCATGTCAACAAAAGTCAGCACAACGGAAATTTTTCAGCCTCCCATCTGCATTCCCGACCAAACCACTGAGGGAGAAGACGCCTCGTTAGAGATGCTCTTCCTCCGTAATTCATCCCACATTTCTCCCTAAAAAGGAGATAATCTCATGTCACATGTGACCACATTTTACAGTGCATTCCAGTATGGTTAAACTCCCTGTAGAGTTCAAAATTAAACCTTTCTTTCCCCTCAGCCATTTTCTTCTTATTATTTTTTTCTTTAAAGAAAACTTTATATTATTCAGTGCTTTCACATTCTCCTTTGCAGGGAGATGAATGACACGGATTATCACAGGTGAATTTAGGTGGCCTCTTGTACAAAGTTGTTGCTTATTGGTGGTGGTACAGTTTAAGCATAGAATTGTATTACTGCGTCTCAAGTTAATACTTTGATATTGCTTTGCTTTCCTTGTTTTCATAAATCATAGTGTTGGTTTACATGCATTTGTAAGTGATGGCGCCCTAAAGCACTTTATTTTAATAATATTCATTGTCTTCGTGAAGACTGTAACTTTTTTTGAGTGTATTTTGAAATGTGTTTCATGTTGGAATCTGTACTAATATTATGATCTACTCTTCTTGTTTTTGACTGTCATTTGCAGAGGACCCATCTGCCAACTGGTTACACGCTCGATCATCCCGGAAGAAGCGATGTCCATACACGAAATATCAGACCTTGGAGCTAGAGAAGGAATTTCTGTTCAATATGTACCTTACCCGAGACCGGAGACACGAGGTAGCTCGCCAGCTGAACTTGACAGAGCGACAAGTAAAAATATGGTTTCAAAACAGAAGGATGAAAATGAAGAAAATGAATAAGGACCAGCCCAAAGAATAATAACGCAGACTGGTGCCAGGCGTTCAAGCAGTTTACAAAAAGTATTTTAAATCTGGAAGCTGATGCAAGAATGTTTTACTGCATCAAAAAGGAAACGCACACGCACACGCGCACTCACACACTATTTTCTGTAGGACTGGACAGTGTTAAGCATATACAGTATAAGGAAGAGGTGAGATGATGCAGAGGAGGGGGAAACCGTCTTGCCATCTCTCCCTTCTGTTATTGCATTTTATGACTTGAGTGAAAGAAACACTTCACCAGGAAATAAACAGGTGATAAGGAACTGTTTCAACAGGCTAAGAACAGCTGAAATATTGTGCTTTTTTATAAAGTTGCTCTCTATAATTCTGCATTTTTCATCATTCCTTTTGTCATAGACGTGTGCTGATATAAAATGTATTTAACAAAACATAAGACTCATTCAATATACAAGGGAAGTTTTGCTTATCTGTAAAGCATGTTCACGTATTTGCTAAAGACGTGAGCTCTTTTTTACAAAATTATTATTATTATTATTATAGCGGAATATTAACAGCCTTTAGTTCGTAGTGTCTATATCATCTGTGAAGCAGTTATTGAAGAGTGCGTATATGCTAACGGTTTTCAAAAACCTTTTGAAGTTTACGATATTATAAATTAGCTCCTTTTGACATTTACTTGTGCGCAGAGATTTGTGGTAGAGGCACACTTATAAATTGTCTTGGTTGATTCGAATGTACTAACAGTAGTAATAATAATAATAATAATTTCTAATATTGCTTTCAGATCTTTTCTTTATAGCTTCTACTATAGTTTCGTTCAATAGTGTTTGTATCATTTGGGGTCAAAAATCAAGATTCAAACTGAAGTAATTAAACACGAATGAAATTAGTTGTTTTACCTACTTTTTTTTTGCGTTCAGATATCCCAAAATAATCCTTTTGAAAATTAGAGTGCAGGTTCCGAGTGTATGTATTTGTAGCGTGCCAGTAACCATAGAGTTAATTCGTGCTGAAATGTATAACAACCTTTAATACAGATTCGGTCGCAGTTGTTTACATAAATTTGCGCATGCCTCGTATTGTGTAGTTTTCTTATGTATGTGTTATTGAAAAAGCTCGTATTAATTCGAATCTGTTTTATGTGCGGTCTAAGGATTGTTGTTTTAATTTATTGTAAATACGTTAATTAATAGTTTTTTTTTTAAATGGAATGTTTTATATGTTGTAAAAAATAATGAAAAAAATTATTCATACTTGAATGAGCTGATACACGTAACCTTTTAATTTTCCTATTTTGTTTACACGTTCCATGTAGGCTATATGTCCAGAATCATGTCCGTTGTCCATTGTCAGTGATGTTTTTCTGTATTTGCTCGTTCCTTCATATTGCTTTGTTGGTTTAAAGGTTTGTTTTATGTTTTTGTGATTTGACTTTACGGAAATCGAGCGCGGCAATCTTCAAATGTCAATCAATTCTTAAACTGTCTGAGGCCATTGCAACTTTTTCCCACTTTTTTGACGCACGTCCAGTCAGGAACACACACACACACACACACACACACGCACTTTTTGTGCTATTTTCTAACACGCTTGTTTCATGGCTTCTGTACATTTATTAAAAAAAACAAATCATTACAACACCAGACTTTAACTCGCAACGCAAGATCTAAATTGTTTTTGTACACGACGGCTCTGTCTCTTTTTGTGTCATTGTTTTGTTGTGTTGTTAATCTGTGCTATTGCACTGTTGATGCTGGACTCATTAAAGTTTACATATAGACCACACACAGGTATTGTCATTTCTATGGACAGAGCTAATAGACAGGTTGGTGAAAGTTACCCAAATACAATATAATTTAAAATGAAATGTTTTTTTCTCTCTCTAAATGAGTGCACAGCCTGATGTATCACTGCAACAAAAACTCTCTCGAAATCTAAACATTCATCATGTAATTAAAATAAATATACTTGGCTGTGCATGATGTGTGTATCTTTGTGTTATCGAAACTAGCCCGACACATGGACATAGATGCATATTGGTGAAATTTAAGTCTTTGCTGCTTTTTTGTGTGCATGTGTGTATGTAAGTAGCCTATGTATTTATTTATTTATTTAGCACGTCAACTCTTTCCCTGATTTGGCACAATAATTGCCCTTTATGTTTTTTGATTGTAAACCAGCCCAAACTTTATCTCGTCCTTTTGTGCTGTAGCGAAGGACATGCTGTAGTACTCTACTTTAATGTTTACTGCATTTTATAATGAGTCATATGTTGTAAATATGTTATCGTGCGTTCGAGCATTCATCTTGAATCGGAATGAAGAAACGTGCAGCTCATATGTGGAAAGACGAATTACTGAGAATAACCATGACACATCTTTGCTTTGGCTCTCTTCTTAACGTATTATTTGATTCCCTTATGATATTTGCGGCGTTACATTTGGCTATACCGCATCCTCCAGATGCAAGCTATGCATCAAGAGTCAAGAAGGATATTTTGCTTGCAGAGGCGATGCATAATAAATTATGCAAACTAAAAGGGATAAGGTAGGTCTAAATGTTGCAGGCTCTGAAGTTCTAGAGTAGACACTCAATAATGTAAGACGCGAGGCCCACTTTTAGCAGAGAAAATGTGCATTTCAAATGCGACGGTAAATATGGCCATATGCAGTTGCATAGCAATAATAAAAATAAATAAATAAAGAATACAATGATTTGACTACAAATTTAGACAGTCAAGGTTCTACCCATTATGCAATTGACACAATTGCAAATAGAAAGAGGAAGGAAGACAGCTTTAAAAAAAGTTCGGCATTCAACATATTGCAACAATTAAATATTTTTGAAGACATTGCCAGTTGTCCTGGCTCACAGATGTGTGTACGAATTAAGCCTTCGTCACATATTAATTCAGCATAAGTCTGTCCTGGTGATTCTAGAGCTGAGAAGATATTTTGAGTCCTGCCACACCATTAACGCCCTTTATTTTGGTGTTTTGAAAGGAAACAAACAGCAGAAAGGATGTACGCTCGATGTTCGAAGGAAATGGGAAGTCGACTGTCATAAAAAAGAGAAAGAAATTCAATGTGGTGTGCCGCAATAAAATAATATGACTGTAATAAAACTTTATAGGGTATACATTTCTGAAGTTTAAGAACTAAATGGCTGTAAAGCAAACACTACGCGAGAAAAAACGGAAGAAATTGTGAAAAACGTTTCAGGATTCTAATAACTGTAAGGCAAAATAATTTGCGTAAACACTGTGTCTCCGTTGGGGGAGCCTGTTTTTTTCTTCCCCTTTCTCGCATTTGTCGTTTATTGTGTACAGCGTTTGTTCTTTAGCCGTCCAGATTCCTTACAGAGTAAGGGGTCGGGATGGGTGAGATCTGGACTTCCACATGAGAGCCCTGAGTCCAATTCAATCGACGCCCACCCTTTGTTCCATTTCCGAACGCACTACAGCCCTTATAGCGGGCCATAAACTGCCGCAAAAAGGATTTCTGGCGAGACGTCTGGGATGACCAACGCTAATTTGTTTACAACCTTTGGGACCGGGCTCGACTCTTTTGTAGGTATACATCCGTTTGTGCCTTGGTGATACAAAGGCCGACTGCTAAAGAAAAATATTTCATTCTCTCAAAATCAAAACCACACATTACATTAAATTTCGCATAGATTCCCTAAAATGTTCACTATAGTTTATTATTTATAGTATTTATAACATTCAGTTTATTGTGTTTATTAGCTGCTTTCATGTAGTCTACATGAATAGCAAAAAGAATTTAAGAATTATAACTATGTCGTGGTGTGTGGTTTGGTGTTGTATAGTGTAATATAACTAGCTACCTACATTATCAATGATGCGAATAATAATGTAATAAAGCTTTCGAATAAATAGAAATCTAAATATTTCTTAAAAAACACACACACACACACACACACACACACACAAACACACACGTATAATTGATCTCTGTGGTCAGAAGCTTTTAAAGCCTGTCAGTATTGACAACTAACAAAAGGAAAGTCAACATAATGATGATGATTACTAATAGTATTTTAGTGATGC